CTTTTAAAGAGCGCTATACCCATTTGAATTATTGTTATGTCAGTTAAACGCAGGAGACTTATTAATGGGCCCACAAAACAGGTATAGCGCGATTATATACCGCGCTATGTATATAATGCGATTTAAAAGAGCGTTATATATATAGCGCTCTTTTAAAGAGCGCTATACTTTAACGGCCAAAACTATGTTAACGTATAGCGCTCTTTAAAAGAACGCTATATATAAAAATATTATTCTTTTTTTTAAATACAAATTTTCGTCACATTTGTCCAAAAAAAACCACAAATGGTTGTGACTCCTCTATTAGAGAAAAGGTGAACATTCACTTTTGAAAAATTGTGGGCCCACGTGAGAGATTTTAAATTGAAGAGAGGGTGAGAAAAAGTGAAATGGGAGTTGAGAAACGTTAAAAAAGATAAAAAGGACATGGGGAATGGGGATTATGAATTTTTTAAAAAGCTAAGCTAATATGTAGAGACTAGGCTTAATCGTATGTTCTTTTTTTTTTTTAGGTATCAATAGTTATTTTCTTAGTATTAAAAATCAATTAAAATTTTACTTATCAAAATATTCCTTATTTAAACTAGGTAAAAAAGTCCTAAATATTAGGATATAAATATAAAAAAGCTTTATTTCCTTCTAGGTGATTTCTGAACATGAAACGTAGTGATATATTGCTTGTCCCAGGTTTTCGTCCATTTCCTTTCTTACTTTGTTATAGCTAATTTAATCATTTTAGACTAAATTAATTAGATTATTAATAGATTTATTCGTTAAGACATAACACAACTATAAACGATAAATATATGAAATTTACCACAATTTGTCTATAGATTTTGGCTTCAATTTTTTCAAAAAGAAATTGAAACATTGTTTGTTTATGAAAAATGATGATATTTTGGGGGGGAAATTTTCAAGTTAAAAACTGGTTTAGGACAGTTTTTTGGTGAAAAATTTTCTTCCACCACAAAATTTCAACTTTCTTAAAATAAAATGCATGTCCAAACGCAACTTCAATTTTCAATATTTATTTTCCAACACAACTTCAAAAACTCTTTTTTTAAGTTTCAATCAAATCTATCTCCAAATGGTAGCTAATTATCTATTAGTTGGTTTTTTCCATCCTATGTAGTTAAATTTGCGTCTCCTATTCCTAATCATGCAAAAATATATAGTTGTATTTAGAGTTACAAAAGTACATATATTGAGTTACATATTTTTCCTTTTATATTAGCTCAAACACTCTTATATTATTTTCAAAAAAAAAAAAAAAACACAAAGGCGG